GCCACAGGGCCTGCCATAGGGCCCTCCTTCCTGTCCAGGCCAGACCTTGAGGCCAAGTCCTGTCCTGCACTGACTGCAAAGCAAGCCAGCCACACACCCTGAGGGGTCCCCATGCTGGGAGCTGGGAGCTGGGAGCTGGGAGCTCGGGGCCAGCTCCGCCATAGCTCCTTAACCCTCTCAGGGAGACCTCATTCCCGGTGAGCAGGTGAGGAAGCCGGCCCAGCTGTCAGGCCTACCCAGGCTCCACGGTACTAAGCACAGCGACCTACTCCAGGTCGGCTAGGCACGGAAGTCCCCGCAGGCGCTAGCACAGTCCAGCCAGTGCCTTCTGTGTTTTCCCTGACACTGTCCTTTCTGCCAAGCCAGCCTCCCAGCTGCATGCCGCATACAAACAACCCCTCCCCTTTCTGACAGAAGCTATTTCTGGAAATCCACAGCATAAAAGCCTTCACATTGTATTTTCCACTATATGTGGCATTATGAAAGGGAATCAGATTGCTGATCCAATCGATCATAGGAAAACGAATTCTAGCAGGGTGGAGCCTAAAGTACGTTTAGGGATCATCTCAGTCAGTTGTTCTCAAGCGGGGGCAGTGGGCCTCAGCAGACATTTGGCCATGGCTGGTCACACTGTTGCTTGTCACAATTAGAGAGGCATTGCTACTGGCATCTGGTAGTGGGTGGAGGCCTGAGGCGTGGCTAACCTCCCTACAGTGCACAGTGATCCGGCCGCAAATGCCAACATGCCGAGGTTGAGAAACCGTCATCTAAGTCCCTGTGCTACTCTGAGGACCAGAAAGTTGAGACCCAAAGGCAAAAGGGACTTGTTCAGGGCTACACAATCCCAAAGCCAGAGGTGGAATCCCGGTCTCTACAACACCCTCCTCTGTCACCTGCTTTGCTGCTGGGGGAAAGGGAGGGCGAGGACCAGGAGATCTTAATTCTTGGGACCAACCTGAACCAAAGGAAGAAACTGCAATAAATCAGTTACTAGATTACTGCGGCATCGGCATCGCATCGGGGCATTCCAAATTCTGAAAGAAACGCCTTCTCCAATTACCCATGAAAACAGCATTGTTTCACTGGGTCCCCCAAAGGTTGTTGGGGTGGGGGTCAAATTCTCCATGGTGTGAATTCCAGTACATTTTACAGATACCATGGCCTTCAGAGGGCTCAGGTCTACAGGAAAGAACCACAGTGTCCACCTAACTAGCCCAAGGAGCCCACGCAGGTCCTGACTACCAGGTCCTGACTAGCGTTCCCGTCTGACACGTTGAAAGGAATGTAAACATATGCCAGGCTCTTCAAAATAAAATCCATTAAAATCCTCCCCACTGTCATGCTCTAACTGAAGTCACCTGACCCCCTCCATCTGCCGCTGAGTCATCAAGCCCCTTCCTTTAGCAAGCTAATTATTCAGCATGGGAATTTTTGAAGAGCACTGGAAATCCTTGGATTTGGTATTCTCTCCACCCCACTCCCTGGTGAAAACCATTTTGTTCTCAAAGCCGTAGCTGTATCTTACATTCACATGTTGCTTTTGAGAGCTGCATTCTATTTTATTTGATCAGATACCGTTATTTTTTTAACCGACTTAAAACACCTGGAAGAAAATACAATACATTTCTGACATACGCCTTTTGAGTGCTGGAACCTTGCAAAATAATGCAAAACAATTAAGATTGCACAGCTGAGCTCTTAAATTGCTAACCAAGAAGTTTCCATTCCCCAGCAAGCTTTTGCTTTGAAAGAAATTAGGCTAACTACTGAGGACAACCTCTGCTTAAAGAAGCAGCACAATGACTGGGGGAGCAGTTGGTAGTTACCTTTTAAAAGCCTCTCTCTCTCCTTAGAACGCATGTATTTCGGTCATTCCAGATTGTTCCCCCTCTGAGCAAGAGGCCCCTGTCTTCCTGTCTGGCGCCTGGCCACTTTCTCAGGGTGGTCACGCAGAGACCCACGTCACGCGTGAGCCTGCAACAGGCCACTCTGTGCCTCCGCCCCCGCCGCCTGCTGCATGTAGCAGCAACAGCAGCAGCGGGAGGCAGCTGTGGGCAGTGGGCGCCTCTGCTGCTGCCAGAGGCCCGGCTTTCGATTTTTTACGGGGCGCGTCCGGGCTGCAGGCCCGCAGTACGGGTGGTGCCTGCAGCGGCCGCGCCGGGGAAGGCGGCCGGGCGCCG